TAACCCAATATCAAAACAAAAAAGTAAACTCTGTTAACATACAGAAAAAAAGCGATTTGAATGTTCATTATCAGACTTAGAGCTCTTACAACAGGGTAAATGTTTTTCATGTCAGTGAATGATACACTTGAAAACAGTGACATTTTTTAATCTTTAGCTATATAAAATTTACCACAAAGAAAATAAACAAACAAAAAAGTTATTGTACACTAGATTTTTTAAAAAACACAAGAGGGCCTCAAATGTGGGGGTAATAAATAAATGAGACAGCACACAAATAGACGTATGCCCTCCCATGTTCATTACAATACAGTTCACAATAGAAAGAACCTGGAAACCACCAAATAACCATCAGTAGAAGGACAGATAAAGAAACTCAGGTACATACACACAGTGAAATGTGATGCATCCCTAAAATAAACAAACAAAACAACATGAAACCACAAAACACCTCATGAGGGATGCACCTGAAGTTAGTCAATTACAAAAGGACAAATATTGTATGCGTCCACTGCTGTAAGGAGAAACCCCAAGAAGAAGGTAGGCTTCTGCTCTCAGAGCATGCACTCTGCAAACCCGGTCTCTCCAGCAACAAAGTAGAAAGTCTGCCTATCACCCATGAGCCATATATCACCCCTTTTATATGTACATCTTGAAAACTTTTTCAAAAGAGACGACATCACCTCAGCTGAGGTCAGTTTGTGAGGGCCGAGGGAGAAGACCATTCAGTTGCTGCCACGCAGCATCAAACTAAGGTCCCCCCAAATCAACGGACACTCCTACAAGAGGGATAAGAAAATCTTATCAGAAATTCGAGTCCAATTGAGCCTCCACTCAAGTACTTACTCAATGCAAGAACACTTTGTTCTATTAAATTGGCATTCCATGATGCACACCTTCCCAACACGATTGCTAAAGACAAATGTGTGCATAAGCAAATGTGGTGAAGAAAGTTGATAGTGCCTGGCTATCAAAAGATATACCATCTGGGGTCTTAAAGGCTTGCAGGTAAACAAGAAGTCATCTAGCTCAGAAGCATCAAAGCCCACATAGAAAAAGCACACCAGCCTGTGTGACCAGGAGGTGTAGAAGAGGTCAGGTATCAAACATCAAAGAACAAGAAATTATGTCAGTGCATGTCCACCTTCCCCATATGATCACTGAAGACAAATGTGTGCATAAACAAGTGTGGTGAGGAAAGCTGATGGTGCCCAGCTCTCAAAAGATATAGCATCTGGAGTCTTAAAGGCTTGACGATAAACAAGCAGCCATCTAGCTCAGAAGCAACAAAG